GCCAGGAGAGCCGCATGCAGAGGTTTTACTAAGAAGAAGATGGCGCGGGATCTTGTTGTCGATTCTGGAAGTCTTCCTACAGATTGGGAAAAGCCCACCTTACACCGCTTTACAAAAGTGGTAGTCGTGTAGAGACTACAGACCCAGAGAGTATTACCCGCAAGGACTAGTGGGACTGGAATGACCATTTCTGACTTATTATCGTCAGCCAGTCAAACCCAACCCTAAGTGGTGTCTAGACTACTAGCCGCTGCGACTGCTGTCAGGGCCCAAGAAATGAGACCCAAGGCACTGCGGGACAAGTGGATTCCGTTAGCTTTCGATGAAAGTTCATCAGCGAGTGCCAACTACAGACCCGTCAGTCTGACCTCCATATGCTGCAGGCTTATGTAGAAGATCCTCAAAAGGATTTGACGACTTATTGTGGGACCCACAATCTCCTTTCCAATTAACAAAATGCTTTTAATAGGGAAGGTCGTGTGCAACGAAAGTGCTTTCGACGATGCAAAACTGCGCAAGAGTCCTCGGTGCGAAAGACATTGTACATGCGACTGACCATGGTTTGCGGAAGGTCTCTGACAGTGTTCCACACCAACGTCTCCCGTAAAAGTTCAGAGTCATAGGTTCCAGAGGTAAACCTCTAATGTGGAACGAGGTTTCCTATGGTAACTTTTCCAAGTTGTGTGCGTAATACGGCAACTATCAAAGTCTACAGTCCAGCTTTCTACGTAGTTTGGCATCCCTCAAGTTCGGCTTTCTTCAATTAAGCTAGGTTTTTTTAGCTTTATCCATACAGCTTTTAAATATTTTGAGCACACTCTAACGGATTCTATATTTAAGTTCAACAAAGTTGGTTCCTCTGAGTCATTAATGCTCTACTATGTTTGTCATTCCTTCTGATTTATAGTGCTATATATTTAGTCGCGCTTCACTTTGTTTTACAAACCATATCAAGTCTTAGACCTGATCACATTGTGCTGTTTGCCTGGGTATTGAGCTGAGATATCCTATCATAGCAGTTTTAGAATGAAACGGTTTATTATTTGGGAATATGTAGACTTAAAGTTTAAGTAATAGACCCAGAATGTTCAAGTTCTAAGTCTAGGAGACCAGGCTAGTTATAATTAAGCTGCAGACAAGAAATTTCTGCCTTTTAACGGGATTTACCAGTGCTTGCAAGAACTCAATTATGCACCTATATTGTTGTATACTTTCATAGAAAGTCGATAAGTAATCCAGACGTCCTTTGGTTCTCCGATTATTTGCACACTTTTCTTGTTTCTTTGAGCACTTAAACAAACATAACTTATGACCTTTACCTCCCCGCCAGCATTGTTTTAGGTGGTGTGCAACCGCCTCCTTGTGCTGAAGTCTGCTGTTTGCGTTGATTCTTTGATTTTCGAATGGCCGAGCTAAGGATAATTCCCTTAGGTTTGAAATTCGATTTATATAATCCAGACCTAAGGCGCTGGTCAAGATGTAGGTCGAAGCTGCATACTTGTATCTATTGGAGGCAAAAATATAATGCTGGATTGCGGCATGCACATGGGCTATAATGACGAGGTTTGAATCCAAAATTTATAACTCCGTTAGCGACGCTTCCCGGATTTTTCCTATATCGTCCAAAAACATGATTTGACAGAGTATCTCGATTGCGTCATAATAAGGTACCGCGTGCTTGTTGCGGTGCATTGAACAAGTCATTTTCACTTAGATCATTGCGGTGCCCTTCCGTACATGACAGAGATGGTTGGATACGATGGGCCCATCTACATGACACACCCAACAAAGGCAATATGCCCTATTTTGTTGGTAAGTATTAAGACAGAAATATACAATTCCAGGACGATTATCGTCGTATTAGTGTGGAAAAACGTGGAGAGCAAAATTTTTTTACAGCTGAGATGATTCATCGCAGCATGGCGAAAGTTCAGTGTGTCTATCTTCACCAGACTGTCAAGGTGTGTTTACATCTTTAAAGACACGTTACAGGTTGATGATGACTTGGAAATTCAAGCCTTCTATGCCGGGCATGTACTCGGGGCAGCTCTTTTCCTAGTTAAAGTCCGTGACCAGTCATTCCTGTATACAGTAAGCCGAAACATGTTTTTATTTCTCTAAAATAAGGGAGATTACAACATGACGCCTGATCGTCACTTAGGCGCAGCGTGGGTCCCTAGATGTCGTCCCGACTTACTGATCACAGAAACGACTTATGCAACTACTATACGTGACTCAAAGCGCGCGAGAGAACGCGAATTCCTCGAGAAGGTTCACAGCAGAGTCGATGCTGGTGGAAAAGTGCGTTCAGAATTTGACTTTCGCTCACTATGTAGGTGCTTATTCCGGTATTTGCTCTCGGTCGTGCGCAAGAACTCTGCATACTTTTGGAAACGTACTGGGAAAGGATGAATCTGTCAGTGCCCATATACTTCTCAACCGGGATGACAGAAAAAGCTAACGAATATTACAAACTTTTTATTTCGTGGACGAGTCAAAAGATCAAGGAAACATTCGTTGAACGGAACATGTTTGACTTCAAGCACATTAAGGTTTGCTTTTCGCTAAATTTTCGTATGCACTTCCACATTAACTACCTCTAGAATGCAAAACTATTTCCTAAAACTCTTGCAACTTGATTAATCACATCACCATGCATATTTTTTTATACTTTGCATCCTGATTTATGCTGTCAGCCATTGCCTTTCAGAAAAAGAGGTGCTATCCACAATATAGCAACTCGGTGTAGTTTACAAAATAAATAATGGTTTGGAGGCAGTCACATAAAGAAAATACAAATCAGAATATGGAACCGTATATGAGAATTCAAACGCTAAATACTCAGATAAATTTAAAGCCGTGGCAGTGTCGAGGTTCGTCTTGAAGATCTATACTGGCAGTTCCACTGTGACGTTGATCTGAAGTGCAGTCAGTAAGGTCACCCTGTTTAGGAAAACTTTGGTCGATCCAGTTTTGTTTGAAAACATAATGGGAATGGCCCTTGAGAAAGCGGTGGACCTTATGCAGTTTCCTATGTCCCATTTCTTTTCAAGTCTATGTTCGAGCATCTTGGGGCCGTTTTTTTACGATCTGATGAACGTATATTATAGTAGTCTGCTTTTAACGCCTGAGTGAGGCATACACTAGTTTTCAATCAGATGGGAGGGTTCCAGAGGCAACTAGACTTTCATAGACAATCAACAGGGTCTTAGCAAGTTCTCCGGCAAGTATTTTGAAAATCTTGAATGAAATCTATTCTGAACCAGACGGTTTAGATTAATTTAATCCTATTAGCCCCACTTAATTACTTCATAAAACTGGGGCTTTGTACCTCTTTTGATGTAGGGTGAACGAGTTATTTGTTTTGTAATAGCAGACTTTAAGAACTGAAATGTTACCCATTTTCCCTTTGCTGTTTGCAGTTTTGATTTCATTTTAGTCTTTGTTAACGCAACCATACTTATCTCATAGTCCTATTACTGCGAAATGCGCTAGGATTTTCAACTAGCCATTAACGAAAATCCTTTTTAAATTTCCATCTAGCTTTAATAGTCAAACTTCCATAAATGATAACAGGCCTGACGCCGCCAGAGTAAACTGCAGTCTCTAATCCATGCATGGTTTATATCGTTTTCGTTTTTCCAGGGGCTTTTGCTAGGGGTCCTTTTGCGATATCTCCGTTCAGTCAGCAGCTTTAATGAATAGTCAACTCTCGTTCACTATCTATGGTTTCTATTTATTTATGGTATCTAAATGCACAAAATATGATCGATGGGTGTTTTCTAACAACAATTTTCCAAGGTACAGGTCTGCGCAGCACATAATTCATCCATGATTCATTTCGTTACAGAATGACATTGCTATAATTCTTTGAGGACTGGCCTGCACTGCCAGCCCAGTGCCCCGACATTCGATCTTATCCTTTCCGGTTTCTGTAAAAGTTATAAGCTTTTTGGCTACCAGTCTAAGGACTTCCCGACCATGGGGGTACTTCTGATTGCGAGACCAAAGATGATCATCCTGGCATTGGGACCGTTTATCTTCAAACTCGATTCCGCTGCACCCACACCTGTCTGGGATACAACACGTTGAATCTTCGCATTGCAATGTCTTAAGCATAGTCTAACGTAGGACGACAACCTACTGTATAACCGGAGTAGTCTGTCGGGGCACGCCAAGTAACTCGGCCGGTAATATAATATAAAGGGAACCGCAG